TTCTGCTTGAGTTTGGACCAGGCCAGAATCGGATTGTGTGTAGTCCTCTGACTGATTCGTGTAGCGGTATTGGATGCACGTAGAAGATTTGTGAATAGTCAGTTATCCGATGATATGAGCGTTGACTCTGTGTGAGATGTGGACCAGTGACCTGTTTTTGGATGGCTAGTTACATGACCTCATTTCTTAGCTAAGTATGAATTCTTGTGAGATGTAGGCTAGTTGTATTTCTTTTTATACATTGATCGAGATTAATATTTAATTATCTATAATTTGAGACATATGGTATATACATGAGGGTTTTCTTGTTTGGATTATTTCGTTCGACGTACTACGTCTCTTGTTGTATATTTTTAAGTATTAATTCCATCTAGTTGTATGACATTGTTACTTGGATGATTATTCTGATCGCTAGCTGCATGATCTTGTTACTTGGTTGATTTTCTTGGATTCTTCTGATTATTATATTCTTCTGATCGCTAGCTGCATTGGTTGTTCGACCGTTTCTATTCTCCCTTATGGGGTCTTGTCATGTGCCATGCACGCTGACGTACTCATGTTCTCTCGGGTTGTACGTCAGACTTAGAGGAAGAACAGGTCCAGCTGGGAGATACGCCAAAGCCTGAGTATTCTTAGCGGGAGTGCGTTACAGACAGAGTTAAAGAATAGACCGAAGCTCAGTTATCTTTTCCTTTGTTATTTGATGGTCCTTAGTTTATTTATTTTTGTAGTATTTCCTTTCTATTTCCGTTGGATGATGTATTTTTATATTTCTCCAGTATTTGGCATGTTTGACCCAAACTCTGTGTCTCGGATGATATTCTATTTGTGATATGTCTCTTTTCTATTATGAGTTGTTCATTATATTCTTGTTATGTGTGATCCGGGACCTGTGACTTCGTATTTGTATATTGCTTGACGCTTAGCGTATTAGGTTAAGAAGAAATATTTATTCTTATTTATTCTCCTTAATCTAATACGTCGCGAGCTTGTTCACATTTCGATTTCCTGGTATTTTGGAAAGCGAAGCTTGACAAGACTAGTCCTAAAGAAGTTCAAGAAAAACCAAGCATGCCAGAAGTGAGACGCTCCTCCAGAATTCCTAAGCTAATCCAGCATTATTCGCCTTCTTTGCACTACTTGTTGCTGATTGACAGTGGTGAACCAGAGTGTTATGATGAAGCAATGTAGGTAGAGGATTCAGTCAAGTGGGAGTCTGCTATGCAAGATGAGATGGACTCGCTTATGTCAAATCAGACGTGGGACTTAGTTGAATTACCACTAGGTAAGAAAGCTCTTCATAACAAGTGGATTTACAGGATCAAAGAAGAACATGATTGGAACAAGTGTTACAAGGCAAGATTGGTTGTCAAAGGCTTTCAGAAAAAAGTAGGTATTGACTACAATGTAATTTTCTCTCCGGTCGTAAAATCGACTACAATCAGGCTGGTGTTGAAAATTGTAGCTGCTGAGGATTTACATCTTGAGCAGTTAGATGTAAAAACAGCTTTTCTTCATGGTGATTTGGAGGAGGAGATCTACTTGAAGTAACCGGAAGGTTTCATAAAGACATGCAAGAAAAATCTAGTATGTCGTTTGAAGAAGAGCTTGTATGGATTAAAACAAGCTCCCAGGCAGTGGTACAAGAAGTTTGATAGCTTTATGGGCAGCAACGGTTTCACTAGATGTCAAGCAAATCATTGTTGCTATCTCAAGAGGTTTGACAATAACTTTATTATTTTATTATTATACGTTGATGACATGCTCGTTGTAGGTTTAGATCTGCAAGAGATTATAAATTTGAAGCAAAAATTGTCAAAGCAGTTCGTAATGAAAGATCTTGGTGCTGCAAAGCAGATTCTTGGAATGAGGATCAAGAGAGACACGAAGTCTGGGATTTTGATGTTATCACAGGCTGAGTACATCAACAAAGTACTCTCCAGGTTCAATATACAAGATGTTGAACCAGTGAGTACACCTATAGGTATTCATTTCAGACTTTCCAAAGAGCAGTCACCAAAGACAGAGGAAGAGCGTGCACACACGGCGAAGGTCTCGTAAGCCTCAGCAATTGAAAGTCTGATGTATGTCATGGTTTGTACAGGACCAGATATTGCTCAAGCAGTAGGAGCTGTTAGCAGGTACATGAATAATCCGGGCAATGTATACTGAGAAGCAGTCAAATGGGCGTGCACATATGGCGAAGGTCCCGTACGCCTCAGCAATTGGAAGTCTGATGTATGTCATGGTTTGTACAAGACCAGATATTGCTCAAACAGTAGGAGATGTTAGCAGGTACATGAATAATCCGGGCAATGTACACTGAGAAGCAGTCAAATGGATCCTAATATCTATCGGGCACCACAAGTAAAGCACTTTGTTTTAATGGGGGAGATACAATACAAACAGGTTATGTGGATGCTGATTTAGCAGGAAATGTTGATATCAGAAAGAGCATTACAATGTATGTCTATACTCTAGGAGGTACTATAGCGAGTTAGGTTTCTCAACTGCAGAAGATAGTTGCTCTCTCCACAACTAAAGTAGAATATGTCGCTATTACAGAATCCAGCAAGGAAATGGTTTGGCTTCAAAGTTTTTTGGATGAATTAGGCAAGAAACAAGAAGACAATGTATTATATTGTGATAGTCAAAGTGCTATTCATCTAGCGAAGAATCTGTCTTTCATTCAAGAACGAAGCACATACAGATGCGGTATCATTTTATCCGGTCACTTCTGGAAGATGAAATTTTGAAACTTGAAAAGATCAGTAGAGCTCAAAATCCGGCAGACACGCTGACAAAGACGGTGACTACTAACAAACTGAAGCTGTGTTCAGCTTTAGTTGGTTTGCAATAGTATTAAGATCGGGGAAGAGCTGCTGCATAGATCGAGATGTGAAGACAGATTAAAATCAGTCATCAAGTGGGAGATTGTTAGCCGAAATCACAAAGAAAAAGGGAAGGTTGCTTTTGTCAACAAAGGCAGCCATCGCTGCTTCCTTTTTTGACAAAAAAACACCGAAAGTAAGGGATGATTGAGGGGCTTCTGCACCTATAAATAGAGCACGCTAAACAGATGCTCAGGACAAAATCCAAGCAAAAGAGAAAACAGAGAAGAAAAGTGAGAGAGCACTCAGTGAGAGAAAATTGTGAGCAATTTTCAGAGTGACAGTTGGGTTGTGAGTTGTGTGAAAAACACTAGTAAATTTTCTCCCCTTAGTGAAAGATTTGCAGCAGTCCGTGCACGTAGACAATTTTGTACCGAACCACGTTAAATTTGCGTGTCCTTTTATTGCGCATTTATTTCGCTTTCTTATAAATCTGATAACATGAGAATTTGCGTAATTTCCCAACATGGAGGACCAATATCTAATATATAGGATTGTTACGAACTATTGGCAGTTTTCGAAAGGTAGTCATATAGCAGAATTTGAATAGCAAGAACAAAATCTTTCACCATCTATATGTGATTGTTATGAACCATAAATCTTTCACCGCCTTAATGTGATTGTTATGGACCATAAATCTTTCACCGTCTTAATGTGATTGTTATGAACCATCTCTCTCACTGTCTTAGCACATTCTAAAAAATTCTTGTAGGTCCGTCTACCATCAACACATTTCTTACTAGAAAAATTTTATCATCTGCTACAGGAACAACACCATTGAAGAACCATATGATCTAACAGTAGCATGCTCTACCGTTACAAAAGGCCTCCTACGAAATTAATCATAGCGATGAAGAAGGTTAATCATTGTTATTGATATAATAATGAATCTTGATAACGTCTTTGTTTTAGGGACTATTTGGTTGCATATACTTTGTAAAATTTGGAAATTTACTGAATTGTGAGGTACACAACTTAGTTCCCTCAAATTTCTCTTGTTTGGCTACATTTTTTAAAACCATGAAAATGATAAAATAGCACTCATATAATCTTTCAAATCAAGATCCCTCCGCAGAGAGAAGGCTTTGGTGAATAGTAAAAAAACGCCATAAATCCTGTACTTTCACAAAAGCACCAAAATACAGAAAGTAAAAATAAATTGCATGGGAAATGTTTATGTAGATGACCGCTTTCTATCTGTGCGATAAGCTTCCCAAATTTCGTAAAAGGGTTAATTACATATCAGTCACTTAAATCATCTTTAATTCTCAATTAGTCTATTAAATCTCAGTATTTGCTAATTAGACCTTTAAATCTTCAATTTCAAAGCATATTTTTTTTCTCTGTTAGAAATTCTGGTAGTCTCCCTAACTCTAGTTGGGTTAACCTTTAACCTAACATCTAGAATTACCTAATTGCCCCCTTTGTATATCTTACACTCTCAAGTAACTCAAAGTTCATTTCTTCCTAAAATTTTCTTGCTCTACAAAAGGAAAAAAATATCAAGAGTGGATTTGGGAAAGTTCCCGACTGTTGGAGACCGAGGTGGTGGATTTGAGTTTTAGTTTGAGCGAGTTATAGGTATAACCGTATAAATCGGTTATGAAATAGGTTGGTGAGGCTTTAAATGATATAGTTAACTATTGGTGGGGGTATAAGGGGAAAACCATTAATTTCCATTATTTTTTGATAGAATTTCACTCTCATAAATATCATTACCTAACAAGAGTGAAGAAATTGCAATAAAAATGAAGATTTGAGGGACTAATGAGCAAATACTGGGATTTGAGGGACTAATTGATAATTAAGGATGATATAAGGACTAATATGCAATCAACCCTTCATAAAAACTCACAAAGAGACCTATTAATCCAAAGTTTTGCATGTATTTGTCCTCAGATACCGTGTACTTGGGCCCAGCCCAATATACTTAGCACGGGTGGGGGTACTTTTGTCATTTATTTAGTTACTATAGATAGTAGTAGCGTACAAACTGCTTTTAGTAGTGCTCAGCAAGCGAGAAAAAAACAAAAAACAAAGAAATTCATTGACAGTCACAATCTCGTCTCCTCCTAAAATTTCCTCTCCCAAACTAAAATCAAGGTAAAAGATGTTGGAAAGGATTAAAATGAAACCCTAGGAAATGTTTCAATCTTGTAATGAGAAGACATTTTGCCTCTCTTCTCTTTGTATTTGCATTTTGTAAGGAAATTATTTTGCATTTTAATGGGGTTGATAAGCCCTTCCAAATATGTATATATATATTGGGAAAAATGACTTGAGCAGTTACGATTACCAAAACCCATTTCATATCCGATTGAGATTTTTAATTTTGATGTGAAATTTTCTGGGTTCATCTGTGCATAAGATTTTTTTTTTTTGCGTTTTTTAAATATATTTGTTCGTTTGTTTCTTAATTTACTACAATATAGTGTATGCTTTTTTTGGTCTAATCTAAGGGATTAGAATGCAAATTTTCCTGTTTATTTCTGTATTCCCAGAATTTCCGAAATATGATTGTACCTGATATTTATTATTGTGGTAACTTTATGCTGGGTTTTGGTTAAACAAGGTCCAAATTAGGCTATTTTGTTGATTGAACGCTACAACGCTGAAGGGGTTTTTCCCCCCTAAATAAAAAATAGAAAAATGCTGAAAGGTTGACCTCACTAGTATTCTGAGATTCTCAGAAGTATATGAGGATAAATAAACCAGCAGATGAATAATCATGATTTGGCTCAACAAGTGGCATGAGAATGTTACATGTTGATTGTTTTTCATTTCTTAATATATATATATAGATATATTTTCATGTTGAGTCAATTTAGATTCCACTTTAATCAAGTTGATATTGAATTTGATGCTGCTCTGGCTTAAGATAGAGATTAGTCACGGATATTGAAAAAGAGCTAAGAGCCTGACCATTTTGATGCTGCTCTTGTCATCATTCCCTTTGCTTTAACCCAGATTGGGTATTCATGAGTTATGTTATATTGTTTTTTTTTTAAATTTTTTTTTCACCAAATGTATTATATATGTTGAAATATTTTTGTTTCCTAATGTAGTATCTGAGGGATTGAATGCAGAATTTCTTACCTCTTTTTTTTATCCCAACTTTCTAAATATTACTTGTACCTCATGTCTAGTACTTGCACGAAAGTCGTGATTAGTTATCACTGGGATTGGGTTAAGCAATGTCTTGAGTTGTAATATGAACAGACAAGTTATTTTATTTTGTTGATTGAGCTCTAGAATGCTAAAGGGTTTACTTCGCTAGTATTGTGAGATTCTTGAAGAAGCCTATAAGACACGGAAAAAGTACAGGAATCATATTTTGCCTGGGTTTTTTTTCTCAATAAACTGTATTCTGCATCAAAATATTGCATGGTGACTTTTCTGAAGAAGGCAGTAACTAGATGTGTGTTTGTTGTTGGGTCATTTAACATTCCATTTTATTTGATTTGATGATGAATTTGATTCCGAATTGGCTTTGGAGCCTGACCAGATAGTAAACCTGCAAGTGAGAATAAATATTGATGCTACCCTTGATAGTACTTTTTCTTAAATTAAGATTGTGTTGATTTGCTTTATGAGTTATGCTATGTAAGTATAGTAGCCCTCTTCATCCATGACCTATTTTCTGTCATATTAGATTTACGGCGTACGTGAAGAATATTTGTTAGTCGAATTTTATGTAAAACATAATAGTTTATCTCTCTATTAGATTTATAGTTTTCTTCCAAAAAGGTATCAAGTTTGTTATGTAAATTCTTGCATTCAGATTCATCAGCATGAGAGGAGCAAATGGTGTTTCAGTACCTAGGATATCGACAATGTTGGGTAAAGGGAAGACCATTGTAGAACCAAAGCAAGAACAACAGATTGATGCCTCTCTAAATGTATGCATGGAGAAAGAAAACTACCCAATTGCTCAGAATGGTTTCTTCCGTCAAACTCATCATCGACATGAGCTTGATCTGATTGCAGAAGAACTACTCAATCCAACACCACTTTGTGTTATTCCTTGCAATGAGAGCTATTTTCCTAGCCATTTTGTTGAACAAAAGAAGAGTATAAGTAGCCCCAGAGTGGCTTCTGATGCTGATATTTTGGCTGTAAGTAATCTCCAATTGGCTCTCTGTTGTGTTGAATATGATGAACTTGTTTAGAATGGCTTTGCTTCAATATGGTGAATTGATTCATTTTCTTGTTGTGTTTCAAATTTGAATTGTTTCTTTTATTCATTGATAGCGTTATGCTTATAACTCAAAGTTATGGTTGTAGATTGGTTATTCAGCACTCAATACTGATGGTGAACCAGCAGATGCATCTGTAAATGGGCAACAGGTTTATTTCTCTTCTGTTCTTTTAGACTTTTAAACTTATAATGTCCTGTAACTGAAGTATTTGAGAGGAAGCATTTATGCTCGTCTTTACAGATAAACGCCTTGTACTAACGCCAAATTGTGGACAGACCCCTCATAGCTCTATTGTTGCGGTAGACCCCCTGAATGAAAATTTTTACTCTTTTACCTTCAGGAGGTCCGTTTGTATTAAAAAAAAATTTTTTTCTCTAAAGGGTAAAAGAGTAAAAGAATTTCACTGAAGGGGTCTATCTACAACAATTGAGCTACAGGGGGTTTATCCGCAATTGGGCTATAGTACAAGGGATCTATCCGCAATTGATATGACACATTCATTAGTTCATTTAACAGAGCTTTCCGATACCCCTTGGATTCACAGATAGCAGTTATTCTTGTTCCCTACGTCTAAACCATACATTATGAAAGTAATAGTGACAAATCCATCACTTCATTTGACAGATTCTTCCTTGCTTAAGGCAAATACCAGATCGAGCCTTATGTGCCATTGCTGAACCTTACTCCCCAGTAATATTTTCTCAAAGAGAAGCCAGAAACCAAAAAGATAAGGTAAGACATATTTGTTTCTCGAACTTGAGAGATGGAATTGTAACTCTTGATGCTATTCCGTATGCTATCATCTCAAAAATTAACATAACTTTGTGGCTTGCGTACTGGCAAAAATCACCAACAACGTTGCACATTCTATCTGTTGCATCTGCTCCTTTTATTCTTGATCAACTTACACAGACCACTTTTTTTGTAGCTCCGGAAAGCCAGGATTTCACAAGGAATTAGAGTATTAAGAAGTAATGTGCCATGTTTTGGATTTTCTGATAAGGTAAGATACCTTTATATGCATGTACTAAATGCTCGACAGAATTCTTACTATTTTAATTTTTATCTGCACATTAGATGTATCGAGGGGGTTATTGGCTATTATTTGGTTCCATGTTGAACTTATTAGAAGGCACTTGAATTTGCACTAAAGAGGACTAGATGCAGGCCTAAAAGAATCTGGTTAAAACAATTAAGAATGATATGATAGTTGTTATCGGAGGAGATGCCCCATAATAGAAATGATGGAAGATTAGGATTCATGTAGCCAAACTCAAAAATATGAGATAAGGCTTTACTGTTGGAGTTGTGTGAATTTGCACCAATGATGTGCATGGATACTTTGCTAGACTTTCTTTAGTCAATATTAAGGCCTATTAAAGCCACTAGTGCTGAAAGTTACTGGGATTACTAGACGTTAATCGGAGTGCTTCCCAATTAATGTTTCACAAATCAACCATATGAAATCCATTTTTATTTGACAAACTTCCATCTTATTCCACTTCATAATTGAAACTTTTTATATACAGCAACATCCATTGCAGAGACCATCTCATTCAAAAATTGACTACACAGAATCAGTCTCTCTTAATTATCTTACCTATGTAAATCATTTAAGATAAATTATCATCACAGTATTTGTTTGTTCTTACATAAATCTGAACTGGCCTTATTTACTTCTCTTTTCATATACTTGTATGTAGGGTGACGAAGCATCTGTATTGGACGATACAATCGACTATATCAAGTATCTGAAGCTTCAGCTGAAGGTAATTTCATTTAAAGCTTTCTGATATTTCTGCCGGAGTTTTTCCTCTCTTTTTGTGTTGTTTCTGGATTTTATTTTTTGTGCTTTTCTGTTAGGAAGATATGCATTAGTATCAATAGCACTTTGTAACATTTATTAATGATCCTGTTAAATTATGTTTACTGCATATATAGCTTGTCTAATGTAAAATTACAGTTGTTAAGTCAGAGCCGGTTGAGTGGTGAATCTACTGCTTATCCATTCGTGCATCTTGAGGTAATGCTCAAATTCTACTTCTCAAATTACATAACAACACAAATAAGCATGGAAACTATTGCAATTTCCTAATAAATATGGAAGGATAAATTGCAAATCGTATTCTTTTACCTCTAATAATCTAAATGGTCTGATTATATAATCTCGAGGAGTTAATTGTGGATAGACCCCGTGTAGTATCGTTGTTTTGAACTTACTACCCTCTAGTAATTTTCACTTTCTTTGAAGGGTAGAAGAGGAAGAGCAAAAAAAATTCACTCAGTGCGGTCTATCTGCAAAACTAAAAGTAGAAGGTAGTAAATTCAAATCATCGACACTAAGAGGGGGCAATCCATGGACCAGTATTAACTCTAATCTTAAACTTTTTTATTGAAATCAATTTCTGTGTGTGGCAGAATTGTAACTTTTTTCTCTGGAAATAATTGCCATACTTGTTGCAGGGCTATGGCCACTATCTCCTTCATCAGGGGGTAAGGAGTGACCCCCTAGAAGATATAATTGGAGATCTACTTGAGATGAGGCCACAAGCTGCAAATGAGCTTTTACAGAGCAAGGGACTGACTCTCTTGCCCATGGATTTTGCGTATACCCTCCTTTGTACTACTTAAGAGGTCACCAACCAAAGCTTTGGATGCCTACATCTCAAGCTTACTCAAAAAATTTGCCAAATATTACAAGCTCTACTTGGAACATGTAATAGTGATCGAAGTCTTTAAGATTAGGAAGAATACGTTTATTTCGTGGTGGGAAGTTTTGTAGTGATTCCTATCTGATCGTTTTGCTGGAGTTCTCTTACTCTCTCTATGCATATAATGCTGAATGCAATAGAGAATACATGAAAAAAACTTACATCTTAGTACGCTATATTGCAGATGATGATCAAATGTTTGCCAGTCTGTCTTGCGTAACATTTATCTTGCTTGTGTACTTATGTGAGTTATGCCTTTCTTTTTCGTTGAGTATTAGAGTATTGAAACAGTTTTTGCCTTTTATCTATGCATTGAGGAGGGAAATACTGGTTCATCATGGTAAAATACCAAGAATCGTTTGCATTCAATAATTTGGTTTCCTCTTCTGGAGCTGTTGAAATGTTTACCAAAATTGGCATTTTAGTAGAACGCTAAATCCAAAAAAAAAAAAAAAATTCCCTTTCACTTGGAACATTGTGGTATTAATATCTTTCACTTGCGACATTGTGGTATTAATATCAATCTCGTTATCTTTTTCTACTACTACATATATCAATTTGGTTATTTTTTCCATATAAAATATTTCCAAATTGAACATCACATGTCGATGTTAATGCCATAATATCGCAATTGAAATAAAAAATACATATTGGAAATATGGTCCTGCTCAACGTACCTATCTGGTTATTTAACCCCTGAAAATACATGCACTTAAGGATTTGTTTAGCTTGTTTATAAAAGTAGAAACTATTCGCAAGATACTCAGCTAGTTGTCAGTTTAATATTTGACTGTAGATACCTCATCTGAATTATTTCACTCACCCGTTGAGCAAGATCCCCATACAAACATCAAGATCAATTAGAAGTGTAGGATTTGGATGCAAACCCGAGTATGATCAAGAATACAAAGTACATTTCAGAACCAAACATCATTACCTCCATCTAAACAATTGCTAGTGCATGTATCTGATACCCTGTTTACAGAAACAAATAGGGAAAAATAAAACAGAAAGCCTATCTTCTCCGGGCATGAGGCCAGCCAGCACGCATATATGCTGCCTCAAAGAGAAGCTCTAACTAATGGATGTGCATTAGCACTTATATGTAAAAAGAACGAGATTTGGAGAAGAATTTACATTAAAAAAAAAAGATTTTCATCACTTTTCATGGTCATCGCTTGGAGGATCGATCTTGATAACAAGAGGCTGGCGTAGGTCTGAGCGAGGACTAGAGACGATAGGTAATTGAGGTTCAACTAGTATGCTCTCCATCCCCTCTGGGTTCTCAGCCAATGCCTTCTCTAGTGATGACTTGGCTACTTTTGTAATACACACCATAAGAATTGCTGAATTCGAAGAAAATGGTCTCAGATTAAACTTCAAAATGTAATGCAGAAAGTTCAAGCAAATATTTAAGAATGACCCTTCAACGAAACACAAACGTGTAAAATAAGTATCTCTGAGTTGGGAAGTCCTTATCTGCCAAGACAGTAATTGATTATAATTGGGATGGTCACAACTTAAAAAATTTACACTTGTTACCATGTAATCTATCAATTATTCGCAGAGTACTTTGCCAATTCCCATTCAGAGTTTTGCCATGATGCACTAACACTTTTACAGTCCCCAGGAACCGTTAGTCCTATAATATCATGTGAAGAATTATTTAACAAGAGAGATTCAATCTATCTCTACACATTTGGCCATCAGTCATACTTAAATATCATTGCAAAAGCTCACTTTCAATATACACATAAAATTGAAAAAAGAAATAAGTTATCATCTGGCTACTTTGAGCGACTGTCAAGTCATATGGTTTACCTCCATCACCTAGACATTTCACGCTCTAGGGGAATTTGCTAGTTTACTCCTCCTTATTTGGATGAACCAAAGAAATGATATCTATGCCTACCAGCCTAAGATATGATCTCTTTTGAACATTATCAACTTGGATATAGATGTTGTCATGATCCATAGAAGGTTTGGGTTGACGTCTATTGGAAGATCTCATATTATTTGTAGCCTTCAATAAAAGTAGCTAGATTCAATATATTAGTTAAATATAGTATCTTTCTCTACTTAGGACTTTCCTCTATTGTATGTTTTTTTTATTAGAGGTTTCCTTTGATAGAGATTCTACAAGATGTAAAGTATGAGGAATTCGCCTCTTCTTTATGAATCAATGAGAACATAGAAAATCCCTTTTTCTTTTATTTCAACATGGTATCAAAGCAAGTTGCCGAATCTAGGAATATTTCATCTTTCTTAATATCCAGGCCCCCGAGAGGGTTTGCCACAAAATCATCTTTTGCTTCCCCTCGGCGGCTTCTACACCATTGACAGTTACTTTTTCATCTTCAATTTTGACAGCTTCGACCATATTTTCGGCTTCAACTTTACTTCCAGTTTCGAATTCGGTCTCAACCTTCGCAACTTCGACACTATCGATGATTTTGTTTTTTTATCTTATGAGAGCCTTCAGCTTCTATCTTGCGGAATCTCTCCGCCCGAAGTTTGACCCAACCAGCGTGATCTATTACCATTGGTGTCTCACATGCAAATTAAATTGCTGCACCAATGCACCAAAGAGAACAATTTCCGATCACCTTTAATCTTGGTTCTGTTGCTTGGTTTGTTCGAGTACATAGTTTTATATTTGGCTAATGTTAAGTTCTACATGATTGGTTTGCTTGGTGAACATTTTTGTCTTCTTGCTGCTTGATTTTTATATTTGGTGTTTGCTTTTCTATTGGTGCTTGGTTCTATTCTATGCAACTTATAACAAGCTCTATTAACAAATAGAATTATAGAGAGGTAATCAGAGCAACCTACCTCTCCACTTGATTCCCTCGGTCCAACTTTTGTTTTTTGGTCTCGAGTTATTTTTTATTTTTCTTTTGGTCATATAATTTCTCTCACTATGGGCTACTCATCTTCGTTGAGCACCACTTCAATTTCCTCAACTTTCACTTTCTTCCGCGGCTTCTACTCACTTTTGGCTTTAACATCACGGATATGTCATTTCATTAACTCATTGGATTAACCTCGCCTTTTTTAATTTTCGGCATTAGTCTAGCAGCTTATATTGATCAATCGACTTGTCTTTGTCAACTTTCTGTGCCTATTCGGCTTCCTCAAATCTCGGCAGTACTCTTGAACAGACTTTGTTTTCTTTAGATTTTGACATAATCTTCAACAAACATCAACTTTTGTGCCGTCGCATAGCATGGTCTTTTACCTCTTTTGAAAAGCATTTTTTTTCTCAATGTCGCTTCGTTTAGCTTCTTTACCCTTTGTTGCTCGTTAAGCATATTTTATCTTCACATCACTTGCAAAGACTTTTTTCTAGGCATTATTTTCACCTCTATTACCATGTCGTCGATTATTGATGTGTTCAGGTTCATTTCAATCTTATTTTTATGTTGATAATGACCGGGATACCACGACAGGCAAATTATTCAACTCTTTTTGGGACAAGCTAAGCTTCACTAATCCATAAACTCCAGCTTGAGAGGAAGTATTGGAAGATATCATATTATTTGTAACCTTTAATAAAAGTGGATAGATTTAATGTATTAGTTAATTATAGTAGCTTTATATTTAGAACTTTCTTATTATATGTTTCCTTTTCTTATTATAGTTTTCCTTTAATAGAGATTATATAAGATGTATAAGTATGGGGTATTAACCTTTCCTTATGAATCATTGAGAATATAGAAATTCACTCTGTTTCTTTTATTTCAACAATGTCAAATTGAAAGAAAGTAATAAACTTGGTCAATACTTTTTGGAAGCTTTCTCGACCTTGAGTCATGCGCATGGCCGACCCAACTTCACGGGAAAAGGTTTAGATGGCAACAACACATTTCTCTTTAACACGTTTTTTTTCCTTGTCCTGGAACAAACTCTTTTGAGTCATGGTTAGGTTTCCATTTTTCTTGAACTTAAACAGTGTAACTTATGAATTTTACTTTAACCAAGATTATAAAAAAAACAAGGTGATAATGCTAAAGCTACATATAAATTCACTTACCAGATACAACAAATCCCGATATAATAAATACCTGCATCAACAATAGACAAAATAAATATCAGTAGACAGTTCAATGGAAAGAGCTGAATTTTGGTACTTGTGTAATCCAAATACAGATCACAATTTAGAAAAGAGCTTCAAGCATAAAATGTATTCCCCAAGAAAAGTTAAAAACATCAGGAAGGCGTTACTTTTTGGTATATACAAACAAAAAAAATCTTGCTTAAAAGTCGAACCTAAAAAGCAACACATAAGTTTAAAGAAACTCTTAAAACTTTCCATGCAACATTTCTGGAGAAAATTTCCGCACAAAGAGTTTATTGTCCATTTAAAAAAAAAATTTCAAGCGGCAGAGAAATGAGAGACAATCTTGCTTGCTCATTTGAATATACTTCTGAGAGAAATACTTATGCTTTTTAGTTTTTACTAATAAATTAACGTTGACGAGTAAAACCACAAAAGGGTAGAAATTTTTCATCAATAACATGAATAAATATTTGCAGTGGAAGTTTGTCAATGCTTACCCAACGAGAAGTCGAGACCTCACTCCAACCATGGGTCACATCAGAAAGATCCTTAAGAGTTGTTCCAACATATACTAGTGCAAGAGTAATTGGCTGTCACGCAAAGTAAAGCACCTTAATCAATTTTATATTTATATGAACATCAAAATGTTACAACCAATATGGAGATGGCTTCATGACAATAAAATCGTGAGAACTGATGAAGCCAATCCACTCGAAAATGTTTAACTCATGGTAAGGGCCAAATTGCTAAAATCGTTTGATAATAAACAAGCATGTTAAGTTGAAGTATTGTTCTCTTGAACTGAGCCATAGCACCGCACCTCAGATCACTCAAAGAGTATAAAGCCAGGAAGTTATCATCAAATAAAGAAAACTGAATGACAAAATTTAAGTAGTGTATGTTTGAGATTGAAATTAAAAACTAATACATAGATAAGGCTACATTTAACTCAATGCCTCAAAGGATGAAAGAAAAGTCAAATTCACGTACTGGACATAAGTAGGTCCATTAACAAAAGGGAACAGGAAAGCCATCAATTTAGGAGAGACAAAATTGATGGTATGATAACAACCAATCCATGAACAAAATAACAAACACATAAATAACAAGCTAAACACTGACCATACGATAACAAAACAAATGTAATTGATACTATTATGGAAAATAATCCATAATGTTAAACAACTTGATATCCTAGAGAGAAACAAATTAATCATATATCACTCTGTATATAAATCTCTGAAATTTTGAATTTGCAAAGCGTGCGTTTATGGAGATAAGGTAAGGGAAAGGAGCAGCAGAAGGTAGTTCCTTCATTACAGGTCATGCTGACTACCAAGAGCTTCAAATAAACAAGGTATAGAGGGACTCCGCCCTAAAATAATTATTAGAATCGACAGAAGTAACAAATTGAAACAAAATGGCAAGGCATCTGGCAAAGAAAATGGCCTAGGTGGCCACCTAGGTGATGGCAAAAGGCCTGAGTAGGTCCTAACTGGGGCCTACAAAGGATCCCAGGTGGCTAAAATCTGATTAAATGGGCCCGTCGTTTCTGGTTTACCAATATAAATCTGTTGAACCCAGAAAAAACAAGTGCAACCCGTTAGTTAACACTTAAAGGTCTTTGAGACTCAATATTCCTTTTATCCTCTTCTTTTCCTCAGTCTCTTCTCTGCTGCTGCTGCAGTCTCATATCGTTTTCTTCTCCTTAGACAGTATATAGTCATTAGACTGTATTGAGAAATTACTCCAATTTCTGTAGTTTTTCCTAATCTTTCTGATTTTCATTCCTACTTTGGTATACCATTTCCTGATTATACTTTTAAAAATAGAAAGGGAAAACACTTAAGTTGCTTACGCAGCTACTAGAAGGTTGATTTTCCACTTAGATCGCCTAGCAGTAGAACCTTGCTATAAAGCTTTTGGACATTACAACACTCATAAATGTTTTACATGCATTTGCAATTATAAGGACTATTCTAATGGTGAGAGGATCATGCAGCAGATACAGTTAAAGCAGTTAATATATTAAAGCATTAGACATTGAGATTTAAATTTAGGAGGTTCAGCATCCTTAGGTTCAAAGAAAATGGCAAGAGATACTATGCTGGTTAAATATGGTTAACTGAAGAATCCTGAATGTGTTAACGATCAGCAAGACAGAACCCTATTCACATTTACATACTAGATAGAATTCAAACTAAAAAACAGTTATTTAGGCAGTGTTCATTACTCGATTCACATTGCAAGTACCTGCCTCCCATCACGTGCAGACTCACCCATTCAAGATATGCATACATAAATCCACATCCATGCTTGCTCACGTACATAAACAAGCAAGCAGAAGAGACATTTGGATGTTGCAGTATACATCCGCATAATGATGCATAGTCACACATGCAAATTTCAACGGCCACAAAAACAAACAGAAAAAAAGAGCGGGGAACAGATCTATCATGAAACTAAATAAACAGGAACGATAAATATTCACAAGACACATCTTTCTTTGCTGATTAGCGCCAAAAGTTGGCTTATACATTCTACTAAATCAGTATTTGCGAGGAATATCAAAGGCCTCAGAGTCAAAGAACATGCTAATATGATTTTCTAGAAAGATCATATTTGAATGTAAACCAAGATAAGACATATGATAGGCTTCTTAATCTAAGGAAAATATGGGAAGTTGCTTATAATAACAGATGGATCTACAGGATATCCCCTGTATCAAATTTAACAGTATTTCCTTAGAAAGAATAGATATAGCACATATTTGTGAGCTTAATGATTAAAAATTCATTTCTGCTAGTTTGGCGATAGAGAGAGAGAGAGAGAGAGAGAGAGAGAGAGAGAGAGAGAGTGTTTGTTTGTGTCTGGCAATATAGGTATGCATGTCCAAGCAGATGCTAAACAACAAACCAAAACTGTAACTAAGTCTTCCAGCATACCATCATTCCCAGCCAAGATGCGAGCATGTATTCACCAATGCCAACAGGAGTAACTGACAGAAGGTAATTTAGCATGTTAAAAGGAAGTAGTGGTACAAGCCTGAGAAGCAACACAATCTGCAGAAAGGAGGACAGAATATTATTATTTAAACTATGCCCCCAGGTAGACTACAAGAAAATAAAAATAGAGATATTAGAGAATATTGCACACAAATAATAAGAAAAGTTACAGGGTCAATGTGCATGTCCATGTGTATGCAACAGAATTAAATTATTTCAGCATCTCTGGATAACAATTGAGACACTAGCTTCAATTAGATAGTTGTTCTGATGCACCGAGACCCTAAGAAACCAAGTTGTTGACCATGTATGCTATAGGAGCAGACAACAAGCTTCTGCTTACTGCCACAAATTCTTACAGTATACATCCATGTAAATATAAAAGTTTGTTGCAAGTCTATGGACATGTGTCATAGCTTCAAACTTGAAGTTTAAGGCTGACATGCATGATCTATTACTCTATTGCATTGATGTCAATGTTGACTTACCCCTCAGTGATTACCAACGAGGCTCCAAATAATGGGGATTTAGAATGTTCTAAAGGAAATAATTCTATACTTAAGTTTTTAGAACTCTATCTTTACATACGAGTGTAAATTTATTCATAGACTACATGTGCATATTAAAATCACCAAAATTTGTGGATATTAATAACCCAAAACCATGCCGTTTATGTCCCTTGCCCAGTAAACAAATAAAGTGGAAACAAACAGGCATTGTACATCTCTCCTCCTATCCCCACTATAGTGATTGGAACAAGTTAAATGCATAGGAAAATTTTCCCATTCTTGAATATCTAGAGATAGAAAAAAGGATTATGCATAGAAAATTAAAAATTAGTCCTGAACCTTGAAGCCAGATCTCTGTATTGCAATAGCAACAGCTTGGAATTTTGGATAATCCTTCAGCTTAGAAATAACATATGGCCTTCCAATCTGCAGAAAGATAAAAAAAACTCTTTACTTAAAGTAAATATTTAGACAACGAAAGATCAAAATGAAACCTTAGGCGGAAAGACCCTTAAATATAAAAAGCATATCCTCAATACTTCTTGAGCTAATATCCTAAGCTCTGCGCAACTACACTAATATTACTAGTCCTGCTTGCAAAAGGTCCAGCGGAACTATTATGCCATATAAAGAAACTCAGAAAAGCCTACAAATAGCTATATGGTAAGTTAAGTTCTTGAGCATAAAGGATTATATTAGATGCCGTAAAAAATTAAGACATCCAATTTGATGTCAATTGTAGAAAGATTAGAGTTGTTTTCTCTCATAGATAGATACCCCTTTTATATAAGGGCACTCTTACAAATAGGTCCTTACAACATTGACTAATTACTATCTAAATAACTCAACACTCCCCCTCAAGATGGGCGATAGATATCAATCATCCCCATCTTGTTACAAAAGATATCATACTCTCTAGAACCTAATCCTTTTGTTAAACAATCAGCTAACTGCTCTTCTGATTTCACTTAGCTCAAAGTCAGAGCTCCTCTATTCAGTTGCTCCTTGATAAAGAACCGATCGATCTCCACATGTTTGGTGCGATCATGCTGAACTGGATTGTTTGCAATATTAATCGCCGATTTGTTGTCGCACCAAAGTTGTAAGGAGTCTCTTCTAAACAAGCGCAGCTCAGATAATATGTTTTTGACCCACATCAACTCGCACAGACCAACTGCCATAGCCCTGTACTCTGCCTCAGCTGTAGACCTAGCCACCACATCTTGCTTCTTGCTACGCCAAGATACGAGATTGCCTCCAACAAATACACAGTAGCCTGTAGTGGACCTACGATCATCCATACAACCCGCCCAATCAGCATCACAGTAGCCTTCAATTCTCAGATGTCCAGAACTTCTGAACCACAACCCCTTTCCTGGGCTTCCCTTAATATATCTAAGAATTCTACGAACTGCCTCCATATGTTGTTCTCTGGGATCATGCATATATCTACTCACCACACTTACGGCATGAGTAATATCAGGTCTCGTATGGCATAAATATATAAGTCTTCCAACTAATCTTTGATATTGCTCTTTACTCACTGGGTCACCACCTTCAGCACACATCTTATGATTCTGCTCGATAGGAGTAGATGCAACTCTGCACCCCAACATTCCTGTCTCTGAGAGAAGATCCAGAGCATACTTCCGCTGAGAAAGCACTATACCCTTTCGCGACCTTGCAATTTCAATTCCGAGAAAGTATTTCAACTGCCCCAGATCTTTAACTTCAAATTCCTCTCCCAATTTCTTCTTCAACCGTAGGATTTCTTCAACATCATCTCCAGTGATTACAATATCATCAACATAGACTGCCAGAATAGTGATACGAGTTTTGGAGTGCCTGTAAAACACAGTATGATCTCCATTGCACTGCTTGTACCCCATACCACAGACTGCCAACCTGAATCTGTCAAACCATGCTCTTGGAGACTGTTTTAACCCATACAAAGACTTCTTCAACTTGCACACCTTCCCATCTACTTGAGAAGTAGCGAAGCCTGGTGGAATCTCCATATACACCTCCTCCTGGAGATCTCCATATAAAAAGGCATTCTTGACATCTAGCTGATGTAGTGGCCAATTGAAGTTGGCAGCACATGATACCAACATTCTAACAATGCTCATCTTTGCTACTGGAGCAAATGTCTCGTCATAGTCAATGCCATACGTTTGACTATAGCCTTTAGCAACCAATCTGGCTTTGTATCTGTCGATCTTGCCCTCTGGAGTTTGCTTAACCGTATACACCCACTTACATCCAACAGCACGCTTCCCAGCTGGCAGAGGTACCAGCTCCCAAGTATCATTCTTCTTCAAAGCCCGAAGTTCCTCTTGCATGGCACTTAACCATCTAGGGTCTTGCTTAGCGACCTGCCAGTTGTTAGGTACAGGCACTGAATGCAATGATGCAATGAATGACTTATATGCAGGTGGAATGGATGCATATGAAATGTAATTCGTAATGTCAGTATCCCAACTACCAAACTTAGCTGGAGGTTTTCCAGCATTGACTCTGGAGGTTCTACGGGGTAAGACGGGAGTATTAGAAGTATCAGGGAAGAACTCGTTACCTATTGATTCAGGTGGAGAAGTCACTGGAGAGGAGGGACTTGGGACATCAACATTTGTGGGCACTGGCATAGGCACATGAGACGGCTCATGTTGCTGTTTCTGTCTCCTCGTGTATACTCTCAGCTCCCCCTGACCTTGACTGTCACCTCCTGAGTCGCCATCACTACTCGGCGATGTACCATCACTGCTCGGTCGCTCAAGAGGACATGGAATCATCCCAACCACGACATCATTCTCATTCTCATTCTCCCCCTCTCTACTAGCATTAGTCGAGTCATCTCCAAACAAGGAACTCAACTCCGTCTTCTCCCCATAAAAAGGTTCAAACTCCCGAAAAATCACATCCATACTGACAAACAATCTTTTCTCAGTGGGACACCAACACTTGTATCCTTTTTGTCTTGATGAGTAGCCAACAAAGATACATTTAACTGCTTGCGGATCCAGTTTACCCACCATCAATCTGTGATCTCTCACATAACATGTGCATCCAAACACTCTTGGTGGAACAACAAAAACATTCGAGCCCAAAAGCATCTCACATGGTGTCTTCATCCCTAATACTCTTGATGGCATCCTATTGATCAAATAAGCTGCCGTCATGACAGCCTCACTCCATAAAAACTTAGGCACATTCATTGTCAACATCAATGAGCGTGCCACTTCCAGTAGATGCTAAACCTCTGATTTCTGCTTCATCATGTATATCCAGGTCATACGTGAATAACAATCAATGAAAGTAACAAACCATCTAAAACCACTGATAGAGGTAGTAGGACATGGTCCCCAAACATCAGAATGGACAAGTGCGAATGGTTCACAACTTCGAAGACCAATCATTCTATAAGTAGAACGAGTATGTTTTCCAAGTTCACAGGCATTACAAAATAACTCTTTTCTATCCACTTTCTTCATTAACTCGGGTTCTAATCTATTTAAACTCTCAAAAGATAAATGCCCTAACCGACAATGTTGAAGCATTGCTTCTGCCTCTGGCCCTCCGCTAACAGCAGCAGCAATCACTGCAGTCTCCCTGTCTAAATACCAAAGACCATCACGTCTGATGCCAGTCCCAATCCTCCTCCCTGTTTCCTTCTCTTGAAAGACACACAAATCTCGATCAAATAACACGGTGCAATTTAATTGGTCAATGAGAGAGCTAACTGAGAGTAAGTTAACTGGAAACGAAGGAACATGCAATACAGATGACAAGGTAACAGATGAAGTGCAATGGACCGAGCCAGTACCCCTGATGGGTTGGGATGTCCCATCAGCAGTCTGAACTGTCTCAGGATGCATATGTTTACTCGGATAATATAATGCAAACTCACTAGATGTTCCTGTGACATGCCTAGACGCACCTGAGTCTATGATCCAATCAACATGAGTTTTAGTGGAGGATGCATATGTTTACTCGGATAATATAATGCAAACTCACTAGATGTTCCTGTGACATGCCTAGACGCACCTGAGTCTATGATCCAATCAACATGAGTTTTAGTGGATGTAAGTGCCTGAACCTGTGTACCTTTGGTCGCATGAGCATAACCAATAAAGTTACCAAAGCATGTAGTGGTAGCTAGATCCTGGGTGACTTGTCCCTTGCCCTTCGACCTCTCAGCCTGAAGCTTGAACAGACGTAGTTCCTCCAGCTCTGTTATTTCAGCTCTAGTCATCCCAGCAGTAGTCTGAGATTCATCTGCCACAGCTAGGTGAGCAACTCCTTGGCTTACACGCCCCCTGCCTCCTCGACCTGCACAGCCACCAGTCTGACCACGTTCACCCCAGTTCCTTTTCCTGTGTGGCTTAGGGCACATCTGTCTCAGATGCCCTACCTCTCCGCAGTTGAAGCACTGCCTAGTCTCCCCTCTGAATCCAGTGTTATCCGGGTTGGATACCACCAGTGCAGACTTCTCCCCTGTAAGTCCACTTATCCCAGACCGTAGCTTGATACGACTCTCCTCCTGTATCATGGCCGAGACTGCCTTCTCCAGTGATGGGATCTTCGTCTGGGTTAGTAGCAATGTCGTCCTCTGCTCATACGCTGGAGCCAATCCTCGAAGAAACAACATGGTCTTCTTCTGCAAAGAGGCCTCGCGCTCCTTGCACTCAGGGTCCTTGCAGCTCGCTAAGGGCGAGAAGTGATCATGATTGAGCCACAAGCGCTCCAGCTCTGTGGCGTACTCCTGTACAGTCCTCTCTCCCTGGACTATAGCGCTGATCTCCTTCTCGATCTGGAATACCCTCAGGTTGTTCAACTTCTTGATGATCTCCTCCATCGGATTTTTTTCAGTGTTTGTCATCGATCCAAATTGTATTCTTATGGTGCGCAACGAAAAAAAATTCCGGCAGCACTTCGACAGTAAACAGAATAGATAGATCAACAAGAATTCATGTTTCACCAAGGAAACAAGAACCAGAAGCAAGATATCTCAACAAAGTGAGATATCAGCTCTTCTCTCATCAGTTCTAGGACTGACTTGTCGAGGGAACCTAAATAAACTATTACAAATCAAGAACCTCTCTCCTTTTTTTTTTATGTAATCATCTGATACAGATTACAAATCCATTTTTCCTTCTTTTTTTTTTTCTTCTTTTCTAATACTGATTACTAATCAGCAACAGTTACCCTCTCTTCCCCAAAATCCCCGAATCACAACAAAGCCCAAAAAATCTCCGTCCTAGGGTTTTCCTAATTTCCTCTCTCTCTCTTCCACCGGGCGCTGCTCCTTACGAGGCCAAGACGTCGTCATCTTCCAGCACGCTTTTGTCGGCGATCCTGCGAACCTCCCCTCTCGCCTCTCCGTTCTCTGCAAATCTCACCACAGCAGCCTCGTCAAGCTCCTCGGCGCTTCCCCCGTCGGAGAACACATCTACCTCGTCTACGACTATGTCGCTGGCGCTAGCCTTCAGGAGTGCCTCCGGAACCCTAGGAACCCTAATTTCACTCCGCTCTCCGAGTGGATGTCGAGGATGCAGATCGCTACGGATCTAGCCGAGGCCAAGAACCTCCGAGGTACCTGATCGTGTTTCGTCGGGATTCAACGTGGCAAACAGGTAACAGGCTCCAACTCCTCGATTTCTCCCCGACTCTAGTCTCCTCCTCCCCCTCCGTCAGCGATCCGTCAGGTTGGAGAAAAAGAGAGAGGCGGCTAGGTTAAGCTCTGATACCATGTAGAAAGATTAGAGTTGTTTTCTCTCATAGATAGATACCCCTTTTATATAAGGGCACTCTTACAAATAGGTCCTTACAACATTGACTAATTACTATCTAAATAACTCAACATCAATTTTACTATAAGAAACAACCCTAAACCAAAATCATATGAAAACAAAGATATGGCAAATTAAAAAACTGCATCAACACATCTTTTCTAAAGAACAAAGGTCAAATAAAGTAAATTGCTTGATTGAATAACATAAAAAGAACATTTGCTGTTCACAGTGGAGAGATCATACCAAGCTTTTTTCAAATCTTCAGACAAAAATTTGTAGGACACAAAAATTGTTTAATTTAAAATGAGTTACTGATACATGCAGTTGAAAGTCTAATAGAAGAGAGTTGTAAACTTATACCGTTCTGCCAAGCAGGAAAGCAGCTGTTGCGCCAATTGTAGCTCCAATGGAGTCCGCAATAAAACCCAAAGGCAACCCAAAGAGATATCCACCTCCAAGCTGAAACATCAATACCATTTTTCAAATAACTTAAAGATGGATTTGATCGATAGTATACCAGATAAATGAAAACCCATAAAGACTGACTGATAACACATGAAAACCACGAGTTCCGTGGTAAAGTAGAAACTAACCAGCAAAAGCCATTTTGTAATGAATAAAAGAATATTCACAATTTCACACAAATAAAAAAAACTAGAACAACCAATTTAAACCCAAGGAATGGCCTTGGAGTTAGTACTGCTGGCTTCTAAAGAAAATTCATGCAGTTGCATACCATGTGATACAAAAGCATGAAGGTGGTGAATATAGGAAATTAAGACAACAACATAAAACAAAAGAGAAGTTACTGCCTTAGTAATTTTCTTTAGAGTCTTTGAAAAGAAATGAACTGGATCAAACTCCTATCTAATCATTAAAGGACTAGTCTACCAACATTTTATTGTGAACCATGATATCACACAAAGCTATAACCGTAACAGAGTAAACCTCTGAATTTAAGCCCGAGAATTAGACTATAATGAAAGCAAATAGCTTGCAGGAAACTCATTAAAAAACTCAAAAAAATACTTCTTATATGCCACCTGGTATCATTTCTTTCCATGCTCATCAAGCTTATCTGTGCATTAGGGAAAAGAAGTGCCAAAAGTATAAAGTTCAGCTAGCTTTAGCTTTGAAGCATCAATATCCAGACAAGACAATTTCTAGCAGAATATCTGAAAAATAGAGTTCGTATAATAGAAGAGAGAAGAAAAATCATTGGGAATGCACAAAGTTGTTACCACCTTCAGGTTAAAGATAAGGTAAAAGGAAATGGAAAAGCAACTATCCATGGTTCAGAACTGTGTCCTGCTACATGATGGTTCATACAATATCTAGTCATTTCTCATTCCTGTTTGTTTGGTAATTTTCACCTTTAAATAATGTTAATATGTACTATTAATTTGAGAAGTTAGTAAATATTGTTTTGGTTCCTAACTGTTAGTTGAGCAGATTTTATAGTACTGTTTCATTTTCTGCAAGTGATTTTCTGTGGTCATTTCTCATTCTATTTGCATACAAATTTTTAGATCTGCTATTCTTTCGGCACTTGTACTATATTTTTCCCTGATATATTCCTTTTTTCCTAGGCAAAAAAAAGTCACTTCACAAATGCAGCCAAATATGAGGCCTAAATGTAGTCTATGAGGTGTGTAACAATACATTTCACATTGGCGCAGATTGCGTACTATGTGAATTCGACAATCTCTAAACTGACAAAAGCAAGAAGAAAGGAGCATACACCATATTAACCACCTCAAGATCACATCCTAAGTTATAATAATTCACTTTACAAGCTTAATAAATATATAAAGTTGATCATGTCAGTTGGAAGGTTTATATAACAATCAAAGAAAATAATGACAAAAAAACAAATGCTTACTGTAAGTATTGAAGCTGGAACTGCCAGTACAGTCAAAGGAATGTATGAGAGTGCCCTGATATAAATATAAGCTTGTTAGACTGGAGATCAACATTTCAGATTAGAATATGCATGTTTTTGGAAGTAGTCTAAACAACTCACAAATATGGTTGATGAAAACCCTAAAAGGATTTCACTCCTAATTTATTTCGTCAAAATGAAACAGTTCATCAAATGCAAAATGTCCTTGTGATTGTACAGTAAAAAGACACCAGCATAAACAAATACTAGTTTGTCCCACGTGTTTAGAAAAAGTCAGGTTATGACGACAATAGCATCGCAGTCGCTAGATTGTTCATAGCGTCATATCATAGGCAAATCATATACAAGGTTATTATAAAACTTGGACTTCACATGCCCCAACAGTCTGTAGCGGACAATCTGTAGTTTAAGCACTCAGAGCAATGAATATATGTGACCATGTCATGTGTGCCCATGCTGGCATAACAAGTTTGTGCATAATTCCATAACCTGTGAGCATGTACAGATTCAAAAACATGAGACAGATGCTTGTCCTACAACATATAGAATAACTTGTTCATACTATATATACAGTTTCTAAAGCCTCCAGTTGTTATCTGCAAGGAAATAACCAAAGGAATCTGATTCTGGTCAGAGCAAGCATCTGAGTTCAAATGGTGTTATAAGTTTAAGATGGGAATTAAACCACTGAACCAAGGTTTTAAATGTCGGATGCTGGGTTTATGTCGGACAACAAAAATTCATGTCGGATGGCAGAAATCGGGAATATATCAGGGAACATATACTGAATATCGGATTGCCATATCGGATGGAATTTTGATCACTAAGATGGAATATACTTGTCTTGTCATAGCTTATCCTACTTAAGTTGAGTATTCATCATCAAGACACGAGTTATTTTCCATTTCTTGAAGGGAAACATTGGAATATTATGCCAACAAATAAATAAAATACACGTTGTCAAACTAGAACTTTCAAAGTGCCTTGCATAAAATTAACATAAAGTAAAGTGTCTTGCATAAAATTGACATGAAGTGTTAGACTTTGGATTGATTTCAAGCTACGGTTCAAACTTATTGTTTACATCACGTTTTTATGAATTTGCAATTTTAATTTGTAGAGACGAAGACAATCGAGAGAAGATCACTGCGGAAAAAAGAGCAATATTTTTTTCTTTGCCCTAATATGTATTATATGCTATCGGTTTACTATGGGAACAAAAGGCTAAAAAAGAGAATTAAACATGTTTGGATTTTGGGTACTAAACTCATACCCCAATACTTATCAACTCAAAAAAAACGGCTCATTTCCGATTTTTCAAGGCTAAAAATTGGTCGATATGTCCGCAATATCCCCGACATATCCGACATGGACCTCGAAAATGATATCCGACTTGAAATGGCCATATCCGTGTCGCTCTAGCCTCTGATCTGACATGTCAGCTGACATTTAAAACCATGCACTGAACCTTATCAAAAAAGGTATGCATCCTCTGTTAAGAGGATATAATCTAATGTGAAGGTTCATATTGTTAGTGAGCCTAAAAAAGTTTTACAGCAGATTCATAAATGCTTTGTGCTCTGTGAAAGATGAAAGTTGCCTGCAGACAGAAGTTCAACTGTTGCAACCAGCCTCAAAATTAGAACATATTTGGACATTGACTTTGGTAGGATGGTAAATATGGAAAGATTACATTTCTGATCCGATTGTTTAAAAAATAGTGAAATTGGAATGCCTCATTGAAGAAACATAAGGTATTAACAAACCAAATTTAGACCCATAAAGAGTGTCTTACCAAATACACTGAAAAAGATCCAATATTAAGTTTCTTAATAGACATCCAACACAATGGGCTTGACAAGAGACAAACTGGCAACCTAATAAATGATCAAAGTTAGCTTTAGCACCCAATTGAAGTGAGCTTTAACTTATTTTACTATATTTTAATGCACCTATTTATTTAAAGTAACTTATTTTACAACCTTTTGTTGTGCCTATTTACTAAAAGAGCTTTATCCATGAACTTTAAGGAATTAAGTTAATAGAATATAAGGGTATAAGTCCAATGAATTTACTTAAAATTGGGATGTTTATCAGATCTATTAAGTAGAATTCTAAGAGGAGGAAACAAATTGCTAGACTATTAAGGAATAAAGTAACGTACTTCACAAGTTTCCAAGTAGAAGTAATGTATAGCGAAAATGAATAAGCCGTTAGTAGATTTCCATTTTTCGTTTTTTCAATATTATTCATCAAGGTATACAAAAAAGAACATAAAACTATCTACACAATGTACACAGTAAGTGAGAACAATTACTGGATGTAATAAGCACCAATAAAAAACCATTTATTCGATTTATAGTGTAAGTGAGAATACAATTACAAGATATAGTAAGTAGCACATAGTTCATTGGTTACGAATATGACAAACAGACATACGTAACGGATTTAAGTATCAATTCTACATGTTTTATTTTTCGTCAAGCAACATTAGAAACCACTTTGCATAATTATTAATAACAAAGGAGTCTAAGACTGCTTTAGACAGACAGCTGGAATATCTAATGAATCTTCAATGTCCGTGGAGAGTGCTCTGACACTAAAACTACATATGGGAACCAGGAACAAAAATAGAACCAGAAAATACATTAAAAGTTATAACTTAGTTGATACTTACAGTACAAGAGGACCCCATGGTCCAAGATTCAGTTTGATCCATTCCAGAAAATCCTTCAATATCTGTCGACAAGACAAACAGCTTTTTGGTAAGGGGAAAAAACTAGAACCAACTAATAAAAATCCAAAGCTTTCTAAATTCAAACAGTTGCAGAAGTTATCAGAATCAAAACACAAATAAAATCTCTACTTTTGGAATTCCTAAAGGCCAAAATATGGCAAGTTTGACTTTATATGTTGCTCCTTTATTTCTCTTATTAACAAAAAAGGGCATAGCATACACAACATCATAATCTTTTCACCTGCTTTATGTATAACAAATCATCTCCAAAAAAATTCCCTTACTTGCAAGAGAACTTTTCTAAGCGAGACATGCACAAGCACAAGCTCAGGGATTTAAACCGTTCTCACGCACAACACTATTAACACAGAAACCTGATAAATCATCAAAAATGAAGAAAGGTCGTACCTTTTCAAGGTCACAGTACTCATATCAACTTTTGCATAGAAAAATGTTACAAGTTGAAACAGTCTCCCTCGAAACCTAACCCTAGATAAAATCAAAAACAGCCTGTCTAACTGCCTTAGGGTTCTCAAGTTCTCCTCTTTCACAGCACCGCCACACCGAAATTGATCGCAAATGATAAAAGCTTGTACCTTTTCAACGGGGAGAGTGTAGAGAGCGGTGACGATGGCGGCGATGAGGAGCAAGAAGAGGGAGATCCTGAAGAGGGAAGCCCAGGAGACGGCCATTGATGACAGCAGCCTCCGGCGCCAAGGTCGGCACTCCTCTGAATCCTCTCCCTCCTCGTTCAAGATCCCTCCTTGCTTCCGAGCCCTCAGATTTCCAGATCCCCCTATGATTTTTCCCGCCAGATTTCCAGATTTCAGTCGACGGCGAGACGATCTTGAAACCTTCTCCCTCTCCTCCTCCTTCGTCTCTGATTCTCGATCTCGGCTCTGATTCCGCTCTATCGATTCGATTCTTTTACTGTTGCTTCATTGCTAAGATATCGAGTTTAGAAAAGGGGGAAATTGATGGAACTCTCTCCCTCCCCCCTCTCTTTTCACACGCTTTCTTTTGCCACTTCATTTCCTCACCAACTTCTTTTTTTTCTTTTTTTTTTCCTTCTCATGATCTAAAAAACGCATAAGCCCGTAAATTACAGGGTCGGCCCACTCCAATAATCTTGGCCCATCTTTTGGGACATTTTGGTAACATTTATGTCTTCTTCATGGTTCTGTCACGTTGGATTTAGTCAGCTGGGACTGAAAACTGGGATAAGGATAATTTAAGGGATTAAATTTTATGGTGTTAGTCAATTAACATTAGATCTATGATAAAATTATATCGTATTAGTTAAGTAGAACTAGATAAAAAGACAAAATTTGTATAAATGTACAAAATTACCCCATGTTTGTCATATTCTCCTTTTAAAAATACGAGTTTGAGAAAATCTTTTCATAATCAATATTATTCTTCACTATTTTAAATATTTTATTTATATCTTAATTTATTATAATTATAATTATATCATATCCTAATCCTACATGAACTATCTATAGCTCAACAATTTAAAAAATTAATATTAATAAAAAATATAAAATAGCTTTACGGTATTAGTTTGTTAAGATAAAGAAATTATACGTAACTAATATACTATAATACATGAAGTATTGTAAAAAAACCTAAAAAGTTTTAAAATTATAAAAAAACATCCTGGCGTTTCAAAACTTAAAACAACAAATATTAATCAAGAAATTAACAGCAGTCTATGAAGAATTTAAACTTTGCAGCTAACACATGAATGTCTCAAACATTATAGAAACAACCTCATAAGTTTAAATTACAAATAAGCACCCTGAAATTCTAAAATTTTAAAACTTTCAAACAACACAAGTGAATTTAAGCGATTACCATGATGCACCTGGAAATTTTTAACATTTCAAACTTAAAACAACAAACATAAAATTAAGAAATTAATAGCAATCACTTAAAAATTTAAAATTTTCAATTAACACCCTCAGTGTTTCAAAAATTATTGAAACACCCTCAAAAGTTCAAATTATAATAAACCACCACAAAATTCTAAAATTTTAGAATTTACAAATAACAAAAGATGAATTCAAGAGATTACCTTCATGCACCTAAATTTTTAAAATTTACCAAAATTAACCTTAAAGATATAGAAATTGCAACAAAAAACTTCTTCAAAATTTAAAAATCACAAAAAACTCTAAAATTTCAAAAATTATAACAAGTGCACATTAAATCTAAAAATTATTAGCAGACCGTTGATATTTGAGTTTTTTAAAAAATTAATCTACAATTTTTATAATTGCAAAAAGAAACCTTAAATTTTTTAGAGTTGTAAGAAATATTATGATACTCCTAAAGTTTTAAAAATTACAAACTCTTAAAGTTCAAAACCACAAAAAAAAGGCTTTAAATTTTAAAACTTGGCAAAGAAATGTGTAATTATTTGGTATTCTTTCACTAAGATATATATATATATATATATATATATATATATAGTCATATTCAATTTTGGGTTTAGTGTCCGTTTTCAGCATCTAAAAGTATTCTAAATTGATACCGGTAAACAAAAGCAAGAGTTGATTAAAAATATTCATTTAAGGAATAAAAATTTAAAAAATATGATAACTTTAAAATTATTATCACTACATAAATCAAATTAACTGCATGTAATTTTACTAATAAGTTGGAGTAGCAAAAATACATTAGTAACATTAATTGATAGATCTTTAAATCCATAAAATTAATAAAAAAAACTATAATATATTAGCTTAACATCGATTGATTATAATTTAGAAACATTAATCTCTGATGTTAATAATATTTATAGGGTAAAATAATGTAAGGAATTACATATGGATAAACTATCAGAATGTTCAGAGATATCATTCAAAAGAATCAAGCTATTTCTATTGCAAATGAGAAAGTAACACAAATAAATCAAAAAAGCACCGACTGAGTTCCATTGAAGAATAATTTAACAACTTTATCTCAATCAAAGAAGAATTCTCCATGGAAGATACAAGAAAAATGAGTAAGTATTCATAAATTTCATACTTTGTTCTTCAAATACTAAAGAAATTAAATATTAATACTATAATCTAAGGCAAATTGGTAATGAAAATGTAAGTATTTAACTCAGATCTTTGTGAGAAATGACAGGGATAGAACAAAGATAATATTATTGACATAATAGAAACACTTATTGGATGCATATCAGAAGAATTCATTATAGAGGAAAAAATTTAGCACCTAATCTTATTTAAGTTATAAATTAGGAACATAAATAATTATATATATATATGAAATTAAAATGTATTCTCATTGAAATAGGGAAAAAATCAAAGTCTGTATTTTAAAAAGTTTGTGTTGAACATTAGAAATACATTCGACTTCTTTGTGAAGTTAAACAAGAAGATAAAATAATAACAAGCCTTCGAAAGATAACAATGCAAAAAATACAACTCCAGCGTGATATCACAATTGATGTAGATGATGAAGACAATATTATATAATTGCCCAGGAAAATATAAAGGTGAAGAAGAATTTATCTTAGCTCAATAAAAAATAAAATAGAACGAATAAAAGACAATATTTTCTGAAAAAAGAAAGCACAAACTATTAAAGTGGAACCGATGGAAAAAAATTAGTTAGGAAATAAGCCAAAAATAATTAAACATGGTATCTAACCACGTGCATTGCACGTGTATAAAACCTAGTTTGTATAAAAATGAGAGTTTTAGTCTCCCAAATTATCACAAGTCTTAGCTAAGAACTAATTGGTAAAAAAGTAGAACTCTCTTATTTCTTTTTATCCGCATTTTTTTCATTTTCATCATTGTCTTGCCTACCCATAATGGCCACTGCCATCATCGAATCTCACCATCGGATTGGACCATCTCTCCTCTTACTTCTCTCTTTATATGCTATTTTCCTTTTTTTAACCAGATATTATATCTCTATAATTAATTTAAAGTAAAAATTAATAACTCCATAATTTATAAAACATAATTGAAATTGAGATATGAAAGGAAGAGATTTGGAGGAGCTAAAAAGAAAGAAAATAGGAAAAATTATTTTTTTAGACTTGTATTATCATAATAATTCAAATAATTAGATAGTTACACATTATTGTAATAGTTATTAACAAAATATTGTAGTTTTACCGAAACTTATTCCACAATAACTAACATTATCAAGACAGCTATTGATCAATAATCACAAGTCTAAAAAATAAGTCTTAGTTATATCATCAACATGCATAGATTTTATACTTTTCAACTACATAAAGTATCCCATAAAATATCTCACTTTAAAATTTTAATCCTAATTATCTCACCAAAATATCCCACTTTTAAAAATCATCCCATGTTAAAATTATCTCAATTCTTGTGAAAATGTTCAATGTGACTAACCCCCCCCCCCCACCCCCTTGGGTTTTCTCCAATAAATAGGAGGTGGTTGTGTATGTTGGATTTAAATCTAATTAAATCTATTTGTGGGCACATATGATTAATCTGTGTGTATTGCTATCCTTCAGGATAACCCACTAAAGTGATCAATTAATTTGGGTTAATGGGTATTTAAATAAATCATGCGGTTATATGTGCAGATATTAGGTTGTAATTATAATTTAATGAGGGTCCAAATTATAAATGTACAACACCTATATATATGGGGTTATGGTCCCTAATCTAGGGTTAGCCACTCTCATTCTCTTATCCCCATCTAAAGAGATCCATAAGGGAGAAACCCTAAGATTAGAAGATCATCAAACCCTAATCAAGTTTTCCTCAATGGATTCAGGTATATGCTTCCGCACCTTTTGATTATTGTTAATCTCTTTGAATTAATCATGGCTTTAAGATTTAGATCTCAAATATTAGATCTAATAAATGGTATCAGAGCCACCGTGATTTGTTCTAAGAGATTAAGATTAAAATTAGGCTTCTTTGATCTTAATTTGTGTTTTATTCAGATCTGTTCATAGATAAACAGTAACGTTTTTTATTTTTAATGTTCGGATGAATAGTAAAAATCACCGTGAACAATATAGTTTTTTAATTTTTGTTGGCTTTTCCTTCGATTTTTCTTTTTTTGGGATCTGGATCAAGAAGTTATCTTCTGGATCTGGTTTTGAAATAAAACCGAGGAATTTTTAGATTTATTTTGTTTGGTCGTCGGTCCCGTGCTCCTCGCCGGCGAAGTATCACTGGCGGCCTCGCTTTCGACTCCGACGGCGACGACGACATCAGGAAACCCTAGGGTTTTGACCTTGGGTGCAGGAGCAATGGCGGCGGCGGTTTCAGAGTGAAACCCTAAGGGTTCGTGCGTGAAAACGTGCGGAAATTAAGGAGGTGGTTACCTTAACTTTTTGGCGAGGCTTGAAAGCTTCAAACGAACCTCGCTTTCTTTCTCTGACGAGCTTCGTGCTCAAATCCAACGAACCTCGTGTTCGTTTTCTGACGAGCCTCGTGCTCGACTCCAGTTGAACCTCGTGTTCCAACTCTTAATGAACCTCGTGTTCAAATTTCAGCGAACCTCGTGTTTGAATTTCAGCGAACCTCGTGTTCGAATTCAGTGAACCTCGGGTTCAACTCAAGTGAGCTCGAACCTCGTTGTAGGCAAGCTCGACGTTCGGATCTCAGGCAAACCTTAAATTCGAAATCGAGGCTCAGATCTACTCGACCTTCGTTGGCTCATTTGGGAGCTCAAGCGAGCCCCGTGCTCGAATCAAGAGAGCCTCGTGCTTGTTTTCATGTGAGCCTTGTGCTCAATTCAGCGAGCTCGACGCTCGGATCTCAAGAGAGCCTCGATCCTTCGAAGTTCAGGCGAGCCTCGTGCTCATTCTTAGGTCGAACTTTGCGTTCATTTTTCAAACGAACCTCACGTTCGTTCTCAGGTGAGCCTCGCGCTCAATTCAAGTCGAACCTCGCGTTCAAAGTCAAGAGAACTTTGTGTTTACTATGGTTAAGCCTCGGCTTTTCATATTAAATTATGGGTCCACTTTGGTATACTTAATTTATTCAATTAAGTTATGGGCCCTAATTAAGCTATGGAGAA